TTTGATTTGGCCCACCAACAGTTGCCGAAGTTACAAGGTTGTAACCTGTTATGTAGAAACATGGTGTTTCCATTGGTCAAATGACTTTATAAAAGGGCTGTCGTGAAGGTAGTTTTCAGTCATGCTGCTGACTTTATATTTGATTTATTAGGATTAAACATGAAACATGAAACGACAACAAGAAACATTTAGGTCAGATTTAACCCCACATGTAGATTTGCACACTTTATAAGGCCACAAAAACTCATATTTTATCAATTTATGAAATATCCCATGAGCCTTTGCTACTTGAGCGTATGGCAGACTTTCTCCAAGTGCACAGACTAAAACAAAAGAGGACCATTGCACAGCTTAATGGTTAAAAATAAAGTACTTTACTTAAAAAGTATTTGTATTTCATGTATTATATTACTGCATTTGACCCGCAGACCTGGGTAGATTTTCATTTTGGCCCCCTCGGGGAAAATGTTTGGACACCCCTGTCTTAGATATACCAAGTATTTCTGTTTTTTATTTTATTTATCTTATTTGCTGGAAATGTTAAAAAGAATCTAATAAAACTTAAATAATACACCACTGATGAGCATATGAAAAAACATAGTTAATTTAAAGAGGTCTGGTCYGTTTCATTGTTGAATGGTAAAAGAAACTTCTCCTCAGTGAAGATTTATCAAAGCAGGAATAATCTGATCTCTTTTTTTACRTGTCTGTGCTCACTCTTTCACACAGTTACAACCTGAAGGTCACCAGGAGCGTTCATAATTACAGAAGCTATTAATAAGTCTTTTTAATGATTCAGCAGCAGAGGAGAGAAAAAAGAAATCCTTCTTCTGGGATATAAAAGATGAAAAATGTCTAGCTTCTTCTTCTTTTGTTGTAATGCAGTTTTTATTCTCTCATCCTTTAGCTTCTCAGTGCTTGTGTTTCAAATTGTGGCAAAATATTTCATCTGGAAATCTGCTCAAGGGATTTTGCCAGTGAGGTGCGAAATGTGTTGAGTAAGGTATGTAGATGTTTGTGTTGGTTCCTCTCACTCTGGGAAACACCTGAATTATTGCAGATTTCACCTTTTTCGTGTTGTTGAAGCCGTGCGTCTGAGTGCTGTTATTAGAACATCTGACTGATTTCTTTTTAAAAACAGCAACACACACGTGTTTCCTGTGATTTTCAGGCTCATCCCAAGGTGTGTGAAAAACTAAAAGCAATGATGGTGGAGTGGGCAGAAGATTTCCAGAAGGATCCACAGCTCAGCCTGATTGGTGCCACCATCAAGTCTCTGAAAGAGGACGGGATCAGCTTCCCGACTCCATCCTCACAGGTGTGTTTGTGGTGACACGGGCCACAGGTGTTGTTGTAACATCTCAAATCACTTCAGTCAGAGCCTCAGTCTTTCAACCAGCTTCGCTTTAGTCTTTTTATTTGAACTCTTAATCATTGTTTGCATGTTGTTTTCCTGGATGTAAACACCACATTGCACATTGAGTCCTGTGGTTGTGTTCACAGATTGATTTAGTTTTGTCCTTTTTTTTTAGTCTCTGTTTCACTGTTTGCACCTCGTATTATGTGTTATGTAACTTTATATGTTTCACATAATGAAACAGGCTCTTTTAAAACATCTGACCTGTATCTTTGTCACCTCTAAATGCTGTTATGTTATCTTTGGAAATGTGGTATTTATTTAAAACCTTCCCGTTACATTTCACATGTAAGTGGTGTGAATGATTAATCAGGTTGTGTTTGTTTTCTTGCCACCGGCTGCGCTCCATTCAGCTCCGGTGCTGTGGTTTTATATTCTGTTTGTGAGAAAAGCCTGAGAAGTGTGAATGAGCAGTGAGCAGGTGCCACAGGAGGCAGCAGGTCTGACATTTAAGCTGGACGGGCTCATGAGCCAGCAGCAGCAGCAGCAGGCTGCGTGGCTCAAGCTGTGGCAGTATTTACCTTTACCTCACATCACAAATGTCACTTTGTATTCAAGCAGCGTGGGAGCGTTTCTGCTCTGTTTGGATTCAGCTGCACACCATCAAACCTTTTAAAACTGGGCTCAGGTTCCTGCTGTTTACAGCTTTGTTGTGGTGATTTGTTTGGTTGTTGTTTTATTGCTGCACGGTGCACCCATCAAAGTCCAGAACTCGTACGTTTCTGAGCAGCACATCAACTCAGAGTTTATTAATAAARTGCAACTTGTGTTTTTTTTAAATCTTCTCTTTGATTGTGTTTATTCTGCRGTCTGAAAACCCACTTCTGAACAATGTGTGCTTTACAGTTTGAGCTGCAGGTGGCAGGAAAATAATTAAATCTTTTGTGGTTGTGCCACACTTTTCTTTATACACACACTCACACACACACACTGACATGACCTTATGTTTCTATATTGACTGCAGGGATCCAGCACAAAGGTCAGCACACCTGCTGCAACTAAAGCACCAGATGATGATGACCTGGCCAAAGGTAAGTAAATATGTTTTTTATTTTGTTATAATAATACACTTCTTTTTCAACAATTATAAT